ACCTCGAGGTCACGTGACCTGAGGCCAGCCTTTGACCTTGACCTTTCGAGGTCAACATATATATCATTCGATGCGGATTGACGAGAGGATCACGATGATGCCCTTAGTTTGTTCCTATCTTGACTAATTCGAAAGTTATTCGTGAAAAACTCTCTCCATATCTAGCGCCGCCATTTTGAGTTTTTCGACCCCTGTGACGTCATCTTTGAACTGACCTGAAAATGACCGTAGTAAAAATTGTAGATCTTGACCGTGCGTATCCGATGCCGTTTACCGTTTGTCGCTGCGATGTGTAGTTTTTGAGATCTGAAGGGGGGCCGAATCGCCCCCCCCCCCCCGCCAGTTTCTTGTCCCGGCGGAGCCCGCCAGGAATAGGGTTAAGTGTTGCTGTAGCAGCATATCATGAAGCATGGTTGAATCTTTTAGGGCAGGTTTTAGATTCATTTGACTTAACAAATGAGCAAGCTCATAGCAAAACTAATAGCACTTAGAATGTTGAAACTATTGATATGCTGTTCAGTGCTCAGCTGACAAGGACATTTGCTGCAATGATTTTGATTTTTTCTACAAACCTTACCTTCAATATTTGGATTGATAGATTGATGGAGGCAAATGCCACACTCAGAAAACCCTGTTGTTTTGACCCCACCCCTGCTATTCGATGGTGCAACTGTGGCTGGTCAAAATGATTAGGATCAAACTTCAAAGTTGAGCAGCCAAAACAGTGGGTCCCGCTCAGCTGAGTTAATTTAACTGACTTTGGCTGTTCCAACTAACCACAGACCATGTTAACCACGCCCTTCAGGAGTGTCATATATCGATCGCTGGAGCGGGAAGTGGAACCCTGGGCCCTGGCTCTCCGCCGGCGATGTCTAATGCTTCATCAAATGAGCTACAGGGTGAATCTTTACTGCTGCGCAAAAATAGGAAAACAGGCCCTTTGCAGAAGAAAAATTAACATACCCCTATGTAGTGTATGTTGTTCGAAGTGTTTACTGTCTGTTGTTTGTAGCATGAGCGTGTTTATTATATCTTTGTGATTTTGTACAAGATGAATCCTTAACTACTCGATGCAGAACTTGATCTTTAGGTACCTTCAGAACCGAAGCAGGGTGTCCGTATGGCTGTACGAAAATGTCAACATGAGGATCGAGGGCCACATCATCGGATTCGATGAGTACATGAATCTGGTGCTCGAGGAGTCTGAGGAAGTCAACGAGAAGCACAAGACCCGCAGGCAGATCGGTATGTAACTACCAGTCTGCTGGCCTTTGGATGGACACAGTGCCATTCTGCCACATTCTGCCTTTTTTATGTGTCTCATATTTTCTGTATTGCGTAATTTATTTTATACATAAATTACTATTCTATTTTCTTTCCTATTATAGTGTTTCATGTTAATAATGTGTGGCATTGCTGCTTAACTTTGTAACACCCTAAAAGAAAAACAACTTGCAAGAAACATCGCTAAAGTGGCTTGGATTGTAGTGATAGATTTATTAGTCTACAGCTCTTGTTTTTTTTTCAGTTTTTACTTGCCCAATTTCGGTCATATTTAATAGTAATGATATGTGCCCGTAACTTTATCTAATAGGTATCTTTTATTTTTGGAGGGAGGGGGTCGTACCTTTGCCAAACGGAGGTCTAGTCTGGTTGTGAAATTAAGTTAAGTGACTTCGTATCACAGGAAGTTTGAAATGATTGTATATATAAGCTTTATTTTAGGATTGGCCCAACTAAGCTGTAACGCATATGCCTCCCTTTCAGGTCGGATTCTGCTCAAGGGCGACAACATCACCCTGATCCAGCAGGTGAACGGCGACTCGGCCAGCGCCGCCACGTAGAGCTCGCCCGCCCGCACCGTTATCGTGTCATTGTGTGCCGCCGTCGCGTGCATCATCAGTCATGAGCGCAGCCCGGCCGGAGGAGGAGATGGCCGGGAACGACTGCCCAAGTGGGTACGCCCGCTACCACACTCCGACTCATTTTGTGAGGTCCATCGCCATCATGTGTCATTTTCCGGCACGGTTTGCTGGTTCCAATAAATGATCACAGGCTACACAGTCTGAAGGGCTATTTTCGTACTTGTTAATTGTCTAATCCGTTGCACATTCGACCAAGCATCGGCTGATGAAACAGGGAGGGGGGGGGGGGCAGAGGGTGCTTTGTTAGGCAGCATGACATAGGTACGGATGGTTGGTGGAGAAGGGGGCGCTGATATCGCATTGGTGAGCCTCCTCTATCCATTTCCCCTGCGTAGGTGATCTGGCTGCTTTCATGGAGGCACGGATCCTAAGCGGGATGAGTAGTCGTTATTTGCGCATATAAGTGCCAAAACATTTGAATTTTTCCAAACCCTTTGCTCGCCTTGGACTCGGTGTTGTCTAAAGATGATAAGGTTTATCACGCACATGGTCGACTTGTGGTTTGCATTCAGTTGAATGGCACCAAGGGTTTTGGTCGATATATGTAGTGGCATTGTCCGGTGATTCGGAGCAATTACGTGAGCCATCTTCCTCTTCATGCAATTTGTCCTTTGAATTTGTTGACCGATCATTTGAAATCTAAGTTGCGGAGAGTTGGACCGATATAAGGAACCCGCATTAGCGTGCATTTCTTTTCTGTTCTGTATAACACCAAACACATTTCAGTTTACAGACCACTACTTACCAACGCATGCTGCCTCTTCGCACAAGTGTCGTGCGTCCTATTCACCTAGCACAGTGGTCGGCAGGTCCTCCGGGGTCGTGCCCCCTTTTTTGGCGGCAGGCAGCGCCATTACCCCCGCCTACCAGACTCCATTGGTGATACAACCAAGGTTACTGAAATTCCATACTTTTCCGTGACTCTTTGGGTACCATATCTGCGAGAAACCACAGGGGGCCCCGCCCCTCTCCCCTGCGGTTTCTCAAATACCTATCTCAAAAACGTTGGCACGGAGCGCCACCATTTTGGCACATTTTATCATAGTTACATCTGTTCTGCACATGTTGTGAAAATTTCAGACCAAAGTCACTGAAGGTCAGGTCACCAGACCACGTCAAGTGACCTCATCTCGGTAAAGACTGTAACGCCTGCCGTAGCTACACAGAGCGACAGATCTCTTTTAAACTTTCAGGAATTGATAAAGGCAACAACATGTACAAAATTTGTATCTCGGAAATTTGATGTCGGTGACCAAAGGTCAGGTCAATTTCACACCCTCTCCGGTTATCAATGGGGGAGGGCGCAAAGTCAATGGTAGAAAATTGGAAGGCGCCTCTTTTGGACGAGTGTCATTCCTAATACTGGGAAACACTGAATTACAAGTAAACATGACCACTGAACCGAAAAATTGCACCCGTAGCCCCGTTGTATGTCCCTGAGGTCATTTCAGGTCATAGTGTATAACAGTTTTCGCTAAAAAAAAACTTTTGATAAAGGCATGCCAGAGCGATGAAAATGCCTTAGATGTGTTCAGCTCGACGATACCGATCGAATGATTTGCAACAAAACCTTCGATGCTTCTCGACGGGAGGATCACGATGCTGATAAAAGTGAGCTCTTGCAAGTTTTGAGTGAAAAGTTACTGAAGAAAAACTGTCAGCAAACAACGTATATTTTGGCAGTTTTTGTCTCCTGCAGGCTAAACCGTTAATCTTAGGTTGAATCTGAGGGCAGGCATAAGAAAAAAACGTTAAGAGAGCTATGGAATCCGTTTTTCCGCAGTGCTGTAGCTCTATCCTTTCCTAAGCTATAGAACAGTTTGTTGAAAATTGTCAAAGGTTGACCTGGAAATTGGCGATACTTAACGTTCGATGACCTCTGGTGAGCAGACCTTTGACTTGACCAAAAAAGTAATCATAGTTTTTTTTTCCATCATTTCTTACGGTCTTTCGAACGCCGACTACGGCGTTTCGCTAGTGACCCAGGAGCAAAGTTAGTAGGGGGTGTTCAACCTCCACCTCCAGCAGGGCGTGGAAGTCCAGGAGCCTCAGCGGGGCGAGGATTAACCCCCCTACGTATAGGGGTAGCGGATATTTTTCGGGAATAGATCACGTTGAAAAGGTCGGATCACGAAAAAACTGTACCCACGAGCCGATCATTTTTATCTGTCCTGAAAATGGCATGACCTTAACCCGAATAACCTTTGATTTGTGAGATATATCTTGAGATCATAGCAGGCCACAAAATCTCACTTCAAGAAGTTACAGCGATACCCGATTTACTCGGCATCTGTCATTGGCCTCTGGAAGGTCACCCAATGACCAAGGACCTTTAAATTGGGTAGCAGCGACTGCCTATCTTCACGGGCAACACACTCATTTTTTTCTGCAAAGCTCCAGCTCAGAGGCCGAGATGCTCGGGTCAGGGTGCAATGGACGACTCCTCTCCCTTGCGTTAGTGACTGTGAAAACACCAATAGACGAGCGCCGGTTAATACATGACAGTTACTTTTGCACGACTGTACGGAATGGTGAGCAGCTACATGAAAATTGGCATGCGTCAGCTAATCAGTTCATGCTTTGTGCGTTTGACCTCGACTAATCTTTAAATCCCATGGGGCACAACAGTTGCGATGTCTGTCCCAAGGAGCCATTAATTCTAAAAAAGATGAGGCTTTCTCAGAGGCCCTCATTACCCCCCGCCGAAGGGCGCCATTACCCCCAAAGGGGGCATGCCCCACCATTTGCCGACCCCTGACCTAGCAAGATCGATGGGATTGGCTGCATAGTGCATACATTTGTCCTGTTGTGCTTAACTGGTGAGATGTGCGGCATCTACAAGGCAGTTGAAGAGATGAAGGGCAAAGATACTATGCTTTCACTTTAGTTTAAACTCTACTTAAATGCAACTCAACTGTTGTTTAAGCGTTTCTTATAGTCATTGGCAGGTGTTTATTTTCGGCTACTTCAACTGACCCAATGTGTGCCCAAGAAGCCGAGTGTCGTGGCGTAGAATCCAACTTTCAAGAGTACCACGAAGAGTTCAAAGGATATTCACAAGCTAAACACACGCACACACCGCACACTACGCATGTAATATTGGCAACTAAAAACAGTGTAAACCAATTGACAGGCCATGGTTGAACAACTTTTCTTTCGGCAATGCGTCACAATTTGTAAAAGGAAGAATATAAAAACGCTGTAAAAATGCGTTATCCATGCGCCACCTTGTCTTGTTTGATGGTCCTATGGCGCATGGCACGGACCATGCCGTTCAGATCAACAAACAGATCATGAATCACCACACTTAGTAATGACATTCAGCGCGAGTGGCACGTTGGGTTAGCGCTACAAAGACATAATGCGCGCGGATGATAGCAGCAGTGCATGAGTGCGTTCGGCGTCAGGCGGTTCACTGGAGCCTGTAGCTAGACTTCCACACTTCCGCCAGCACCACGGTGGAGTGGAAGCGGTGGAAGATGGCCAGTGGCAGGGTGGCGCGCAGGATCACCGCCCACGGCAGCGGCCCGTAGAAATGCAGCTGGGGACGGACCACAGGTCACAGTCAGTTAGCGACACACACAACAGGCCAGTCAACTGGCGATAAACACCACTAGCTACTGTCGTTAGTGGCAGTCCGTTGGCAACAACCAGTTGGTGACATTGACAATTCACAGCCACTTGGTGGCACGGACCATTGGCTACAGTCAGTTGGCGATACAGACCAGCAATCGGTCACTTAGTGCCATGGCACAAACCAGTGGCAAGTGGCCGAACGGAACAGCGGCCCTAGTCAACTGAGACACATTCATAAAACTCCTCAGAAGCTCACGTAACATTTCGTTGTGACTTGTGCCGTTACCTGGACAGGGTTGGCGTCCACTTTGTCGATTTCCATGGTGTAGACAACCCAGAGTGCCAGATTGCAGAGCAGAAGAAACGTGACCAGCTGTCGGCCAGGTTTGGTCCGGTCGTGCTCGGGCAGGTACACAGAACGCTTCATGACGTCCGAGATGAAGACCAGCTGTGCCAGCACCTGTGAACGAGATGTCCTCCAGTCAGTCGGCGCCCTGGCAGCGGGTCCAGTCGACAGGCTGGGACAGCGATCCGCGAGACGTGACGCAACTGAGTCACGGTCATTGTCGGATCGTCACGGACAGCGTCATGAATGGTGTCGCACCGTCACGCAAAGCGTCACGGCAGGTGTCTGGTCGACGATCGTGACGTTGAGCGTCATGGGCGGTTTGGGTCGTTAAGGCCGGATGTAAGCAAAACAATTGTCTCTTTAAAGAAACAAGATAAAAACATAGCGTCAACACTAAGGATTTCAGTTGGTTAGGCTTGAAAGGCTGTTTAGGGGCCCAAATGTCCGTAAGCAAAACTGGCTGCAACTCACCGCAGAACCACTTTTTGCCATCCATGGTTGGTTGCCTCCAGTACCCTAACCTCACCTGGATGACAACCAGCAGCGAGGTGATGAGCAGCAGGACGCTGGAGACGTTCTTCTGCGGCGACAGGGCGGCGGCGATCAGGCAGAACGTCGAGTACAGGAACAGGCCGAAGCCGGAGATACGCAGCAGAATCGTATCCAGGTCGTCCGGCTTGTCGTAGGCAAACTTTAGCTGACGACATCTGAGACGAACACGTTGACAGAAGTTCAGCGTCTTTGGCCGTGAACTCTTATGGCATTATTGTTTTGGGAAACAAAACGATGACACTTATGTGTGCTTTGCGTCATCCAAGGAAGAAAATGCGAGGGAAATGTACATTTTAGTGATATAAAATGGGAACTTCGTCCGCAGGACTTGCATACGTCAGCGTCTGCACCTCGTGACCTCCCCGGACCGTATACCCTGTGCAGGGTTAAACAAACATGCGCTCTGTGTTCAGCTCTGCCCGCGTCTTGGCATGAATCTGCTGTCAGCGGCCACTGACGCCCGTGCCCACCACCCACGACGTCTGATCCAGGGGTGCCTCAGGAGAGCTGCGCCATACGTCCAAATAAACACGTGTCAGCTCATCTGTGACGCGACCGTCACGCATGTCACCTCCAGCTGGGGGAGCAGCGTATTGCCTACGTGAATCTGATCGGGCCCAGATCACCGTCTGATTCAGATGATTTCTGAGTGAGACTGTGATCAGCTTGCGTCTCCAACAGACCAGTGTTACATTGGGTGACGCTACTAGGCACCGTTATAATTTCGAGAAACCAAGACTGATACCAAGATCGTCGCAGCTCAAGATCTCCCGAGTCCCGGGAAACCTACTTGATGAATCCGGCCAGGCAGGTGAACACCATCAGCACGAGGATGGTTGCGTGGCTGGTGTCGGCCAGGAGGATCGCTAGCCGCCGGTGGTCGTCGCGTCCCACCAGCACGAAGAACAGCACCAGACTGATGACGATGGCCGCGACCACCAGCAGGCCGGCGAACAGACCCTTCGAGACGCCCACACAGTCCACCTGGGCAGAGGATCGCGGGACGATTCAACAAGGAAACACACAGGTGCCGCTCTTCAGTAGGTATATCATGTCCTTATCGGATGTTTTCGTCCCCATCTACGCCTTCGCTTACGTTCTTATCGAAACGCCCTTATGAGAAGAAATTTATGAAGGTATTTACAGGCTGTTGTGGACTTAAGTTGAGCTCCAGTCTCCCGCAATGATTCACAACGTATGCATGAAGAGCTGAGTGGCGCCTCTAATGAGCTCTCGTCTGAGGGCTGTTTCGCGGCTCACCTTTCCAGCCGTCGGTCGCCGTTCGCCGGCGCTGGACCGGTCGTCGCTGTCCGTGGACACGTAGCGCGGACAGCGGCCGACATGTCTCCACATGACGAACAGCACCGTGGCGCCGATCAGCGAGTACTCGATGATGAGCGGGAACAGGTAGGGCGAGGCGTCGCTGACGATCGAGCCCATGATGTTCACCCTGCCGCACGTCTGGTTCCCTCGGCGGCCGGCCACGCTCGCCACTCCTGTGAAACGGAACCCGTAGGTTCTGACTAATGAACGGTTAGTTGGTTAGTAGTTAGTACCGACCGGTCATTTTGGAGATTCAGATGATGTTAAGGACTTTGAATCTATCATGAAAAACATCAGATGAAGCATTGTCCGAAGCTTGACCATCACGATTTTGATGAAATTACACACAAATTTGCATGCATTCTGAAATCGCCATTTTTAATTGTATGTTCTCAGCACACTTACCGAATGATGAAAAATCCTCAATCGCCTCGTGGTCTTCGCGTTCGCCGGAGTGATCCTCGTCCCCGTGGCGCTCGCCCTCCTCGGCGTACTCCACAAACACGCGCAGACTTTCACGGACCAGAGTGCGCACCCACACGCACACGTTCGTTGCCACCACGTGCATCAGACCGAACCGGGCCACCAGCTTCAGCTTGTGGATGTTCAGCTGAAACGAATAAGTGGGACGATGCCAGTAGATTTCTCTGGCGAGCTTGACTTCACTTTGAAGTATGAAGACGTTTTGATTTGTGATATCATTTAAGCAGGAGTGCCACACAAGTTTGCTGCAGTTACGTTGCTGTTACGCACCGAATCCGCTGAAGGCATAATGTCCATTTTCAATTCCTAGAAACTGGTCTACCACTCACCTTTGGGTTGGCGAAGATGAAGTACATCTGCATGAAAGTAAATGTGGCCTGGAGGCATGGATTCACAGCCAGGAGGATCTTCCGACAGTCCGAGTCATTCGGCAGCTCGAAATAGGATCCCAGCTCTAGGCCGTTGTACACCATAGCTCCAAGGCCAAACGCTATCAGACAGGCGATGGTTAGTAAGCAACGTCACATTATACAGAAAATATACATATCTGTACCATGGCAGTCATGCAAATTGCCAAGAGATCGTATCCAGAAGCGGCGGAACACCTATAATTAAGGGGGAAGCACTGCCGACTTTTGGTCCCATTCTTTCCATGCAACGCCCATAGGGCTAATGTTAAAATGCCAAAATCAAAGGGGGGCACGGTGCCCCGGTGCCCTCCCCGTTCCGCCGCCTATGATCGTATCAACGGAACATGCCTATTCACAGGTTCGTTGATGAACTGCTGTGCATTGTCGGTACCTACATTGCTTGCCACGTGGATGTGGGTGTATGTAGGCATATGTGCGAATATTGAGCTCCCAGCACTGCCCCAATGCCTCACCGATGGCCCCCACGCGCAGGAAGAAGCCTCCGTGGCTGTGGTCGTTGTCGCTGGTTCGGGCCTTTCGCAGACGCGCAACGCTGGCTCCGCGCGTCTCCGCATGAGAGCCGTTGATGTTGTTCAGGCTCACTTCCACCGGAGAGCCCCGGCTTCGCCACTGGGGACAACATGTAGGCGATTGGTGATGGACATAACCTTGTATTTTTGCATGCTTTCGCACTCGTATTGTAAGCCTTCATTCCAACTTTCTCGGCATGTGCAGCATTTCAGTCCAGCTACGATAACATAACTAGTTGAAGTCGATTGCCCGAGGTCTGGCTTTAGGTCAACACTCACCTTGTTCCAGAAGAGTGTGTTGCAGTCCCTGCTGCCCGCGGCTCCGGTCCGTCCCGAGGGTTCTCTCAGCAGGTAGACAAACACATAGCTGAGGAACAGGATGCTGCCGCCGTACATGTACGCGAAGAAACCCTGCGCGACCGGCAACACTGGTGTCAATGTCATGGACATTAGACGGACAGCAACCGGCAACCGCACAGGTGGTTCAGCGATGTTATGCGAAGGTCGCCGCGGTCTAATGTTTGAAACAGAGGGAAAGCCTCAAACGTTTCTCGTATTGGTCATGAATACCTGTCCACAACATGTCCATGGCAAGTTGAATTCAATGTCGGCTTTCTGCGTTATCCGACAAATGTGGTAGGCAATTTTCCCATTCGCGCATACACATTCACATCCCGACCCTATGTAAAGCATTATACATTTCAGTCCCCTTTCAAAACAACACATTGACATCGTCCTAATCGAATAGGTAGCTGACGCCAATCCTTCACGCGACGACTCTTAGGTCAAACCTGAGCGTAGCCAAGTTAGCGGTTGATTGGCTTACGGCTCAGATTCCTACTCAAAGCTGTTTACACTCCGGATCTGTGGGTTCCACAGGCCGCCGTTTGCGGCTGGCCGTTTCTCGATCCATCTGTCTGGACCAGCCTTTCACCGCTCCGTCGGGCCGCACCACAACTCGCCGAGTCAGCGTGGACCGTCGCCGGTCCGTCCAGGCGGTCAGTGACAGCAGTCGTGGCTTTTCAGCGCCTGTGCCTCTCCCCGGGCACGCACTGCCCTCGCCATCCCACCTTGGGGTTTCTTTCACAATTGTCATTCATGAGCTAGAGCTAGTTACGGGACAAGTACGGTTAGCTGCTCTCTCCGACATATGGCGTAGGAGTCAAGCATATGATACAGCATAAACGGGATTTCAGAGGCGGTCTTTGAGGCATCGTCTTTGCCGCAAGGTCTTTTGTTTTAGAGCGACGAACGTTTCAGCGACACCCACCCACTGCTGAAAGAGTCTTAACGCTTGGCTGGTATATTGCCGTCGACGAAAGCTCTCGTGGCTGCAGAAGTAAACGGTGCCACAAATGACTGGTGCCAACGATCGGGATAAGCAAACTACCGGCGTTATGAAAATGCCGGTCACCTAGCTCACCTCGTAATAGTGAAGCGGGACGTTGGTGGTGACGATCTCGGAGATAAGGAAGGCGATGCACACGACCACCAACAGTTTGGCGTACACTAGAGACAGCACGCGGAACGACGCCGTCCTGAGGGAAAACAGTTCGAGGAAAACATTAAGCACCATTGGTCTGAACAGCTTAACAGTTTTACTTCGTGCACGTTTGTGTGCGTGCTGGTAGAGCTCGATAAAACAATGGAGCCCAGCACTGCACTGCCCACAGTCAAGTCAATCAGTCTAAAAGGGGATCGTCGTACTGAGCGTTGTACTCCGCGTAACTTGGACATCACCGGTCTTGTCGAACAGTCAGGCCGTCCATCCCATTCTGAGGCAGGTTTTGGCCGATATCTGAGATAAATAGGCGATGGTACTATAATATGAGATGTCCACTATGAGAAGTTCTAGGTAAACAATTTTCTGAAAAAATGAGGCCGGATTCAGACCAATATTTTTTTTTATTAAAACTTCTGTGACATAACGTTTGCCGGATTATAAACGCCGAAACACCACTCGAAAAAAAAAAAACAATGCACAAAAATACATCAATAAGCAGAGATAAGTCCATAAATGAAACGTGAAAGGTACCTACCTATTAGCAAAGTGGCTATTAGTCCATCGCGTTGCGCAAATAAACGATTCGCGAGCACACACATTGCAAGCCAGCTTTTCGAATCCCTTGGACGAAGGAAAGGGCCAAGGGGTTCCTTGTTTCATTTATGTCCTACGTCGCACTGTCGTACACGATTGGCATTCCGTTCTGATTCATTCGGAGTAATATTGAGCTGGTCAGCGGTCCAGCGACTATCAATAGGCTCACCGCAGGGTAGGGGATAAAGCCAGGGATGTAGGTAGGTAAAGGCTTTGGCTCGGTAAGCTATTCATTTCCGCTTAGCGTAATTGATGGCGTAATTAAGCACACCGCCAGACAATCTAAAGCCCAAGGATGCGAGCAGCACACTGGTGGATACTGGGGGGGGGGGGGGGAAGGGGGCAGCATTTGGTGCGAATGCCCCCCCCCCCCCCGCGCAGCGCCCGAAATCGGCGAAAATTTGCGATTTTTTTCAGAATAAACCGAAAACTAAGCCACTTTTATTAGGAAAGTTTGAGTTAGACTACACAGCAGTATTTCTTTTTTTTATAAATTTAGCCCGGACCTTTTGAATGGAAGGCTTCACAAGGACAGAGCCCCCGCTAAGCGAAGCTTGCTGCGTTGACCCTGCCCTCTACCCTCCGATCGCGCAATTCCGGTTCCTTGGCTGAATTTAAAGTCCATTCAATTTGGCAGAAGTTTAACGTGCGCACATAGCTGCGCGTGGCCGGTCCCCTCACTGACTTCGCCTGGCTACGGCCTGCCACCAACCGCAACCATACCTGTCAGGAGGCCCATAAACGTCAAGCGCCCGTCTCGCTTCGAACCCGGACTGTTATAACCGGGAACGCGTGCTCTCACGAGGAGTCCAGCGCTCTATCGACTGGGCTACGGGACCGGCGTCCGGCTGGGCAGTGCGTAAGGAATCGAAATCCCATGTGTTTTTGGAATTTGGAGAATTTTGGGGGATGCCCGCTCCCCCTACAGTGTCCAAGACCGCCTTTCTTGATTCGCCAGTGAATCAGTACCTAATTAGTTACTTATACGAAAACATAAAGACGCAACAAAGAGCATATGCATTATGCACCTTACGTAGGTGAAAGATAAAATGCAACAAAAACGCCATCCCTACTCGCCACCATCGTCTTAGATGTAGGTATGTTACATGTTATTTTTTCGATATTTGTCGTTTGCTGTTATTTTCTTTTTCGATATTTAGCTTTCGATATACCTACCTATTGTTTGTAGTTTATAGTTCCTATAGTTTGTACCTATCGTTTGTCTCTCGATATTTTGTAAGTAGGTATTACGATATTTTAAGATTCGATGTTCTCTCTTTCGATATTATGCAATTCGTTATTTTGCGATTTCGAAATTTTACCGTTTCAATATTTTGCTTTCGATGTTTTGACGATAGGTACCTACCTACAGATAATGCATTCTATGATTTTGCTATTCAATATTTTGCGTTTCGATATGGCACCTGAAAATTTTTCCTCTTTCTGTAAATATCTGCGTTAGAAAATCAAGAACGTCATAGTAATAAACATTTAAGGAACTAATTTTTTCGACAATATACCTATAACGGATATGAGCTACTTAGGTACCTACTACAAAAAAAATAGGCACCTGGATTGTTTCAGTTTCCCTGTGATCAAAAGAAAATATTAGAACAGTTTGAAACAGATCAGCCCTAAAGCCAATACTTAAACTTAGCTCATGGGCATCAACAAAATGATAATTAACCGCTGCTGATCGGTGGATGATCATAAAATTCATTTTCACGTGAATCTGTATCGCTGTCCCTATCTTACCATCTGCATTTCCACTGAATTGCTCGGGAAGGAGGAAAATGATGGTTGCAAGTGCATCTTACGGCGCTGACCGGCAACTGCGAACAAATCTCGGCTTCTACATACCTTCTGAATCCCCGACCTTCTACCAGTAGATCTGCGTTGCTGCTGATCTCACCTTCCCCTGGTATCGCCTCTCCAGCCGAGCCGAGCCACGCTGGCCGCCATGCTGAACAGCTTCCGACAGACCGTTTTTATACCGATGAGCAGCTACCGACAGACCAATGTATTGCCGGCGGGCAAAGCGCGACGAAGATCTCTGTAGATGCGTTGGGCAGCTTCCGACAGACCACGTGCGGCTCTTCACAGACGCCGAGTATAAGTGCCGATGGGCATGGTTTCCAGTAGACCGCTGTAGAGCGAAGGCGAGCAAGCAGCTCCTGAGAGAACGCTGTATAAGCGCCGCTGGGCAGTTTCCAGCAGACCACTGTATAACGAAGGCGGGCAGCTTCTGATAGCCCGCCGTCTTCGGTCGGTGACTGAGCGACGCTGGGTCCTCCAACTGAATCACAGTGGACCGAACGGTCCGTCAGCGGCGCCGACGCACGCGCGGCGCCGTCACCGACCGGCGCAGCGCGTCACCTTCCCCGCACCGTCACCGGAAGTAACGTCACCGCGCACCGCACAACAGTCGCCGGTCGCGTGGGTGACACGCCGACCTTCGCCGGGTGCATGTGCGGATGTCCGCCTCAAAGAAGTGGAACAATACCAACGTGGCAGACAGAGGCTATAGAGCAAAGGCTGTGTACTTGATGCGGCTATTATGTTGCATTCATGAAACAATATGATTCAAGATTATGCCAGTTTTTGATTAATCGCGCTCAACATGCGGCCGGTCCACATATGTCCCAAATACGTGAAAGGAGTTGCGACTTACAGCATAATAGATTTGTGAATTGGGAGATAATGTTGCATTATAGAGCGGGAATAATCAACCCAGTTGGTTGGTTTGTGTATACGGGGGCCTGAGATGCGTTGGAGGGCACAAAGTACTTTCAAGTGCGAATTATGTAGCTGGAGGAAGCTTGCATGGAGGCGCCTCGCCGCCTCGCCGTCTGCCCTTCACAAAACACCCGCTGTCGGCGGCGCGTGCTGCTGCTTTCCCCGTCTATTAACAATTTCTCTCGGAAAAGAAAGGTTAGCATGAGCACTAAAATGTTTGTTCACGAACACTGCCGGCCTGTTTGTCCATGGCCTACGCGCGTGCCTCAGGCCTCTGCGGGTCCTACTTAGACGTTTGTGCGCCGCTCACCGGTGTTTGTTCTCCCGACCCTGCACAGTACCTACACGATAGGTAAAACATCGAACCCCGTACGTCTAGGACCCACAGCTCAAGTTAAAAATAACTCTGGCGTTAAAAAGGTTTTTAGCTTTTAGGTTTAAATTTTCAGCTCTTCGCTTTAGTCACTTTGTGAGCATGCTCTTGAAGAGGGTGGTCGGTGGTTAGCGGGAACGGTCACAGCCATGAGAGAGCCAGCAGTGCACGTTCAGTCGCAGGCAATGACCAGGACCGACCGTTCAAGGCTACCTGGACACGATTGTTACCTCTTGACACGATTACTCGTATAACCTCTTCACACGATTACTTGTAACCTCCTTGGGATTCAAAATTATTCCAAATTCCTTCCTGATGATCTGTTTAGCGCAGGCTTTGAATTGGCAACAAAGTTATCTCATAAGCAAATGCACTTTTCGGCACAGTATTGGCTGCTGTGACGGAACTGAGGTTCCCAGAGTGCGTTTGTAAAGGATTGTGCTGTAGTTCGTCAGCCTGTTAAATTTTCGCGTGGAAACATATAAGTTTACCCTCTTCTACATAGTGATTTGCCCTCTCAAGGGCTCAATGTGCACTGCTGTTGATGTAGGTAGGCTGGTACCTATACCGCAAGCTCTAGCTATAGCAGCTACGTAAATAGAGGGCGACCGTTTTAGATGCAATGAATTCCACTGTTCATATCCACGACCCCAGTACCGGACCGAATCCATGTCCAACACGACTGGGGGCGTATGCCAGTCATGCTGGGCTCGAAGAGAAGTTCGTAGTGTCTTGTCAAATTCGTTTAGTTTAATTCGTGTAATGCTTATAAGCTATCGAGTTACACGCGGCTTACTCCTGGGTCTGATACAGATGCTTAATTTGATCGATACTCCGGCTCTCTCTGCCAACAGACACCCATAGACTTACTTTGAATTCTTGACTGGCCATGAGTTCGAAGAAGATGAAGAACTGTCTTCCAAAGATTCCTGGAAAACGAGAAATGTTGATCACATTAGGTATAGTCGGCTGCAAAATAATACCTACACAAGTGAAAGGAAATACAAATAAAATAATTTGCCAACGAAACATAATCTCGACCATTAAATACGCTTCGCGCCATATGTGACCGCTTTAGCCAGCGGGTTTGCATCGGACGCCCGCCATTGCATGCCGAGACCATCTGCGCGACCAATGCCCTATATAGGTACTGCGCGACTGGAGTACCTACAATGCACCGTCTCCGCGCCGAACGGCCGGCCGAAATTGTTTGACGTTGACGGCACCGGTATTTCCTTATCGCGAGCTTTGGATGTCCGGCTGTTAGGATGTGTGAAACATTCCTGTTATGTTAGTGAGAGTCTGAGAGATTGTGCATATTTGCGTTTTCACAAGACCGATTAACATGTCATAATTGTCAGCTAAGATGTTAATAGCCCAATTTTGGTACCTACCTGCAGATCGCAATGAAACGGTTCACTTGAAAAACACTTTTTGGGTCAAACACTAGAGTTTAAAAGTTTCTGAATACCTTCAATGTTCAATTAATTTTAAAAGCCTGTTACCTTAAAACGGACCCTCAAAATTGTCATTAAGAATCCAGTGGCGGAGTGTGACGAAAAAAGTGCACTTAGGGGATTTTGTCAGCATGGTGCATTCAGCCAACCACTTGATATAAATCCCCTATTACTAGCCGGTAGATAAAAGGCGTTTAAATCACTTAGGCTTCCTAGCAAATTATATATGCCTAGCTATCTGATGGAAGAAATTAGAAACACACGTTTTATGTTCAGACCAGCAATCACCATAACGTACCTTTTTATCCGAATCGACTGATGTGTCCATTTCTGGCACAGATATGCGAGCACCGACAGTCACCGTCTCGGACAACCCTCTCTCAGACCACGCGACTGCGCTCACTCGCCGCTGTGCGTCTGCCCGTCCGCGCGGGTGTGCGCGGGTGTTTGCCGCTCTCCCGATCCGGACCGGTTCCGCACACCCGCGCCGCTGCACTATGTTTTAACTCAGGATCAAAACTGGCCAGGGCTCGACTAAGAAACTATATGAGATACAGACGTGTTTTTGGGCTCAAACGAAACGTTGGAGACTAACGATCATTTAAAGTGCAAAATGTGTCGGACCAGATGCTTATGTACTTGTTTATGACGTCACAAGTGTCACGAAACATATACAAATATTGTGTCATATTCTAGCTATGAATGCACGAGCATTTAGGTATCTGTAAATTTGTAATCGTATCTGTAAAAGTAATCGTAAGTCTGAGCAAGGCTCATCGACGAGGCAAGCCAAGGTTGAGGACATGACCTTGTTAATTAGCGTTGATGACCTCAGATGACGTTGAATGCCCTTATATAGGACTTATATATATATGACCTACAATCTTTATATTTATTTCAAAAACATTTTCAAACGTATGTTTTGATAGCAACTTGATGTTAACCCTGTCTCCACTTTAGTAAGTCCAGAGTCCTGTATGTTTTACGTCACATGACGTCAGGGGCGGATCCAGCTAATCCGTTTGGAGAGGGCAAAAGTTTCCGACCCATTCGGTGACCTCGACCCACCGCCGCGCCGGTGATTTTACAACGCTTCATACGTCTGCAATCTGCATGTGTGCAGTTCAGGGAGTTCCATCTGTTATCAGCATACCGACCTAAACAATGAGCAGCGAGCGGTCAGCTCCATCCCTCAAAATGATTGTGACAAAAAGACCTGCTTTTCGTCCAGATAGGCATCGACGCTGTATTATATTTCTCATCACCAAAAGCTTTGGGAGCGGCAAAAGGATAGTCTTGCCCACACTATTCAGCTATGGGGAGGGCAAATACCCACTGTGCCCTTCACTGGATCCGTCATCGCATGACGTGAAATGGTAGAATGTATCCCAAAACTTCTTACCAATTCCTATTGTATGGTGCGTTATGTAGCATGCAACGTGCATGTAAAAGCACTTCATTGTCATACTAATTGACGCTTACTGCAGCAAACTGATGCTTTTTCATAAAGGTGGACAGCACTAATGGTACCATACCACCTACATCGAACGTAGTAATACTGACTGAAGCGGCCGATGGTAACCCTGCCGAACGCAAAAAGGTAATGGACGACCAAAAGCCGATCATCGTGATCAGCGGTCGGTGTCAGGTCTCATACAGTCACCTTTCAGCTCAAAGTCCCATATTAAACTGGGCACAATGAATATTTAATTGCGCTTCATCAGGTACTAAATATGTTTATAAACTATCAAGGAAGCATGTGTAGCGACCATATAGCTCCAGAGCCCATCTATGAATTTACTGCAATAGCCATGGGGTGGAAGGTTCCTGTTATAGACCTATAGGTACTATACTTCATCAATTACACCGGTAACGCTGTTGATATTTAAGAAATGTATATTTCATAGGAATGCTAGCAGTTTTTGAATGAACAACTGTCATTCATCGACATTGTCCGGTCTCCGGTTCCGGAGACCCTTTGTTTTCTTCTCGCGACACATGAAAATGCAGCTGGCACGTGTCGTAGGGGGTCGTGCCGTCAGCTGATTACGCCCCAGGGTACGGCAGGTCGCACAAAGGTCGGCGACCTTCTATGGGACACCAACTCGTCACAACAGACGAGATAATGAACGAGGAGTACTAGCATTTTCCCTTGACGCACGCTAGCGACCGTCCCATGGCTCAGCAGGAGCAGACGTGACTCGTTCAAAAAAGTGTTCACCCCCAACACCGGCGCACTCAGGCGCAGCTGAAATTTTGAGGGCATATAGACAACTCCTTGACCCACAGTGTGGTGGTAGTCCGAGACCGTACACTAGCGTACAATTTTTTGTAGCTCTATTAGAATATTGACATATTAAAAAAAGTGTGCCAATGTAAGGGCTGACGGAAATCAATAAATGTAACACTTATATGCATCATAATTATATAAATTTTGACTCATTACAAAGCCAAAAGCTCGCGCTGTCGTTTGGTACCCAAATTATATAGTTTTGTCGATCCAAAGCTCGAAGATGTTGACGTGAAGCAAGGCGACTGTTTCTGCGTTTGTTCGCCGAAGTTTAGCTTTCCAGAATTGTCTGACTTTGTTGTACATTTTCAACGTTTTCAAAAGTAAAGAGAATACAGGTTTCCGTCGTTAAAGATGCTCTGATCATTTTTGAACACGATAGTGGCCAAATGAAAACGTTTAAAAATAGTCGATATTTCGCGTCCTGGCCAGTTTTTGGCCAGCGTTAAAACACGGTGCGCTGGCCGGCCGCCGTCTGTGGGCCCGCCGCGTGGTGACCCAGCAGTTTACCCCCCTCGGTGTGCCCGCCGAACTTCGCGACGTCACTGGTCGTCGCCGTCCTCGCGAGAAAGCGACACGAGCGACCCGCTGGATGGGGCAAGTCATGGCCTTGCTATACATGGGGACTGGAGCGGCCGGATCTGAGTGTGATTCACGTATGGAGCCAGAGACGCGTATTTAACCGCACCGGGACGGAAGGAGAGCTCGGGTTTTACGTCCCGCTCACTTTTTGCCAACCATATGTATAAAATCATCGGTGCGAAACGCTACTTTTTGGATGCATTGTCACTCCTTTTTGCCGATATTGCTATGGAAAGTCGAGCTCCACATCACTTGAGCTGTCACATCACCAGATCATAAACGAACAGTGGTGTCGAGAAAAAATCTTTAAAATTTTTCATTTAACGTTAAAAACAGTCTATTTCAAACAAATTAAGCATCAGATTTACCGTTTACAAAAGATAAAAGATCATTGCGATTCACCGCAGATCTCATCGAACCGAAGGGGTCCATGAATGATTTCGCATACAGTAGGTGTCAGCGATTATCATGCCACTTTATAAACGGCGTTTCATATACCCAAGTGACGAGAGTTCGGCTTAGCATTATTCAGCACTGCTGGAGCTACATACTGTGGTTAGCACGACATCCATCCCCAGGCTACTGCAGCAGTGACCCAAGGCACCAGGCGCCAGGGCTGCGGAGTCGATGGATTTTCGGCGACTCCGACTCCGGCTTTCAAAAACCAGCTCCGACTCCGACTCCGACTCCGGCCCACATAACACACCCACATGGTAACCATATGGGTTTTAGATGGGCTAGGTGGGCTTACATGGGCATGGGAAATACGTGGGCTGCCCACGTGGTAACCATATGGGTTTTAGGTGGGCTATATGTGGGCTTACGTGATGATGGGAAACACATGGGCTGCCCACATGGTAACCATATGGGTTTTAGATAGGATGGATGGGCTTCATATGGGTTAGAAGGGTTCACCTCAGCATGGGAAATACATGGGCTGCCCACATGGTAACCATATGGTTTTCAGATGGGCTAGGTGGGCTCACTTCGGCATGGGAAACATATGGGCTGGAAATACATGGTAACCATATGGGTTTTAGATGGGCTAGGGTGGGCTCAGTTGGCATGGTAAACACATGGGCTGCCCACGTGGTAACCATATGGTTTTCAGATGGGCTAGGTGGGCTCACTTCGGCATGGGAAACATATGGGCTGGAAATACATGGTAACCATATGGGTTTTAGATGGGCTAGGGTGGGCTCAGTTGGCATGGTTAACACATGGGCTGCCCACGTGGTAACCATATGGTTTTCAGATGGGCTAGGTGGGCTCACTTCGGCATGGGAAACATATGGGCTGGAAATACATGGTAACCATATGGGTGTTAGATGGGTTAGGTGTGCTGAAGCTGAGAGATTCGACATGTGATTTAACATTGATACAAAGTAGAGTTTCAGCATTGCGATTCAATATCGATACTACGTTGCCCCGCTGTTGTGTTGACAAGATTACAGGGCCACGTACCCCCCACTCCCCCTCCTCTCTCGAGTGCAGAGTCCCACGGGCCCGTGAGGTCCTAAGGCGCCAATCAGCCTCTTGGGGTACGCGCTGGCCGCACTCCGACTCCAATGGGCCCACGGCCTCACACAGGGCTCGCAAAAGAGCATCGTGGGCTTCTATAGCAGATACGCTAATCTCTAGTGCGTTTGTGCGCTGTGATTTTTAGAGACTGTACCTACTGGAATTTAGTGACCACTGTCTGTTTTCGAGACTGTATACGGCCGGCGGCGGGCGTCCCGGGACGATCCTCGCCTGAGGCGGTGAGGGGAGACCGGGCGTCCCCTTCTGTCGCGTTGTGTCGCTACCAGTTTCAAGCCCGTCCAAGGGGTGCAGATGGGTGTGTTGAGTGTGTAGTGTCGTCTGTCGTCTCCTCTTCTGACAATGTAAGTTTCTGCCATGTTGTGTACTTAACTATAATCAGAAAATTGATCCGAATTATTGCAACAAGCATTAACGGCTAAATATGTAGGTGATATGCACTAAAATATCTGAACTGAAATAGGATACTCACTGAATTAACCCAAAGCCTCACCATTTCTATCCTTTGGCTAAGACTGGCTCGTCTTTACACATCTGGCCATAATGCCTGATTGTGATTATACGAATGACATTTAATTTCAGCCTTCATGAAGTTCAGCCCAGCAATAATATGCGATACGAGACTCGACGGACGACATCCTCGCTCAAGATGTGTAGCTGGAGGCAAACGGAACGGCGGCCGACAACGTGAGTGACTCAGTGACGTGGCGTGACGTCAGCTTGTGATGATATAATATGATGTGACTGTGACGTGTTGTGTGGATGACTTGAAAAGCTATTGGCTGTGTTATAAATATTAAGAAATATTTTTTTAAGAAATATTTTTTTTTTTAAGAAATATATGTACATTTTTTAAAAGAAATATTTGTGTTCAGATAATTTTTTGTGAATACTGACTTGGATGGTGACACTGAAACACCTATTTCGATCCACCAGGAACGGCAGTGGCGGCGGCACCACCAGCAGCGGCGGTGGCAACAGCAGCTTATATGGCCTTGGCAGCAGCAACGGTGCAGGAACTTTGAACGTGACGCTAACGCTGGCAACGAAAGCGGCACCGTGTAACATGTCTCTCAACTTAACCAAGTGTCTGTCATCTGAATATTGAAGTGAATATACCTACGTTGAAATGAAACTTTCGTAACTATTAACTTATCGATGTACGAGGAGGGATGAAAAACGAGCTGTTTTAAGCTGCAAAAGAACTTACAACCAATAGGTGGTATATGGAGTCATCGCGTGGGAAAGCCGATAATCTGCCAGTTGCGACAAGCTGCGATTGATTGCATATGGCCAGCCCGCCAGCCCATATGCTTACCAAATGGGGCAGCCCACGTGGTTACCACGAGGGCAGCCCATATGGTTACCACACGGGGCAGCCCATATGGTAACCACATGGGGCAGCCCATATAGTTACCACATGGGACAGCCCATATAGTTACCACATGGGGCAGCCCACATGGTTACCACATGGGGCAGCCCATATGGTTACCACATGGGGCAGCCCATATGGTTACCATGCAGAAACACCTTCCAAATATGTGTGGTGCCCATATGGGCAGCCCATGTGGGCACCATGTGAAATAGATGGGCATGCCCATATGGTTACCACATGGTTATGATATGTGTGTGTTATGTGGGGGGCAGAATTGTCGACTCCGACCGACTCCAACTCCCGACTCCGACTCCGCAGACCTAGCAGGGCTGCGGAGTCGACAGATTTTCGGTGACTCCGACTCCGACTCCGGCTCGGGTTTCTAAAATCGACTCCGACTCCGACTCCGACTCCGGTCACAACTGTCGACTCCGACCGACTCCGACTCCGACTCCGACTCCGACTCCGCAGCCCTGCCAGGCGCGGCCTTCAAAGTCGCCTGCAGCAGCGGCCACTGGGGACGGCGGCGACGCGGCAATTCCGGGATACACACAGGAACTGGCGGTGCTCCCTCACGACCGCATCACCCTCCTTTACTGGCAGCGATGGCCGACGATGCCGCGGCTGGCAAGGACACAGGCCGTACCGGGATGAACTGCCGGGATACAGCCAGCACCCGCACCGATCGGTTGCTCAAGCCAAGGCGAGTGGGTTACGGAGGCCGCAGAGGTGAGGGTGCATAAGCACGAGGAACAGTGTCGACGTAGTCACAGGTCGCCTTGACCTTGACATGGCCAGGACCCCCTGCGATACATCCCAACAGCAATCTTTATTCAGAACCTGCCTTGATTAACCAACGATGCATTAAATGTGACGGATAACTCTACAATGCATTATTATCAACTATTGAACGGGCCTCGCCGATAGGGGGGTACTGTACCCCCCTAACTTTCGATAACGGTGGACCTGTCCCCCCCGTCCCCCCCCCCCCCCGATGGCGCCGCCCATGGGTATATAAGATAAGTAGGTAAGTATACGATAAAGCGCAAGGCCTTACTTTAATTTTGGTTATGACCTTGATCTTGACCTTGAATTTTGACTACATCTTCGTATTCCTCAAGAGAGTTTTCTTTCGTTTTTAATCAGTTTCACCGGGTTTGATGCATCTTTCCATCCCTTGGGCTGAAATACATCCCACTTGGCACTTGGGCAGCTGGGCTTCACTGTGACTAGTCTTGTCACCAGTCAAGTCCCCAACATTCCCCAACAATATTTTCAATTTTGATATTATTGATTTCAATCTAGCCTCAGTTTGAACAACGCCGTAACGTGTTTTCTTCTCATCAAAAGCATTTCACGGACTCAGTTACCGGCATGTTACTGGAGAAGGAAAGTGGGTTTCATTAGTCACGTGGTAGGAAGAAAACGTGAAGTAAATGACAAAATAATGCGTTATATGATATAAAAATGACATTTGATAAATCAAAAATACGATTTATTAATTCAAAAAAATATTTTAATAGCCCATACCTGCATCTAGTTGCTCTATATACTCAGTCGTTGTCACGTGGTCTAAAGCAAATCTCATTTCATTACCAGAGATCATAATTTCCCCGAATCTTGTACCGAATGGTCGTCACTGGTCGTCAATTAATAATTGTCGCCGGTCACTGTGATAAAATTTCGATAAGTGTGAAGGCATAGAAGAATATTTAGTTTTGTGGTATACCTCGGTAAGAACTGCCTCGAATTGATTTGATTGTATAAAATAAATCCTAAATTAGATTAGAATATATTCAAATATAGGCACATAACTAAGTTTCATTTGACCATGGATATGTGCCTTGTGGCAAGAAATAAATGAAATGAAATGAAATATGTAACTAGCTCCTCATAGTTATTACCTCAACCTACCGGTGCCACAGCCATGCCATGACGCATGAGCCAGACTTTTTGCGTGCAATTCATGTGTGTTCTAGCTTGAGCTGGCGGATCGAGAAAGGCAATCTTGGATGCTCCAGCCTATGAAGTCTTCATTTTGTTGTAAAAATCAATTTTGCTAACTTTGGGCACTGCAAGGGGTGGGGGGGGGGGGGTGGTTAAGGGTCCTCAGGGGCATATATTTCAGGGTTTACTGTTGGGTTCACTGCTGCTTCAATGTGTTATGCTTACCGTAAAATGGGGTGTTAAGGGACAGTGGGGTGTTAAGGGACAGTTGCATGGGAAAAACTTTGAGCCATATTAACTTCCTAATTTGATAAGGTTCAATAAAAACTTCAGTGTGGTAGTTGACACTGTTTTGCTCTTGACCATAGGACAGAATGGTATGGTTTTTCATGCAAGCGATTTGGTTCAAAAATGGATTTGAAAATCATGCTACATTTTCACAAAATTGAAACATCTCCAAAACTCTGTGTGTACCACATAAACTAGTGGGTGTACAGGGAAAATGAATGTATAGGTGTATTGTCACAGGTATTGCACATGTTTCCTGAAAAACTTGTGCAAATCCACCCATTTATTCATCATCCTCTTCCTCTTTTCCGGATACATGCATATTTTGAGGTGGATGTGGGGTGCTAAGGGACAGGGAAGAAAAAATAAAAATAATATCTAAATATAATTTGATTAAGTTTTCTTTCAGTAGGCATGGAAAACACCAAATTCCACATAAAATGCTGGCAAGTTCATGCTTGTATCTCTAACACATCTTAAGTTATGTAACAAAACATCTCAACACTCTTTTACAATGATGGGTCAATGGAGACTGATGTAGGTAAATGAGATGTCATCATAAAAAGGCTAAAACAAAGAGGGCAACATAATGACAAGTGACTAGCTTCAACATGGGTTTTTATTGATGACAGAAGATTACTTTCTGGTTCTGTTTACCTTATAATTAGCACATTTTCCACAAGCGTAAACTGCATTACACGTAATTGGCTGAAAAGGTCATTAGTGGTGAATGAACCTGACTTGTTTTGTGATAGAAAATGCAAAACATTTCAATAAATAAATTGTGTGCCCTTCCACACCCCAATTGTGGGCATTTGATGACCATTTCTTGGAATAATATAGGTGTCCCTTAACACCCCACATTGGGATGCTAAGGGACAGTGATGAAAAATAATAAAAAATAATATGCAGGTATAAATCTTAAAAAGTTTAATGTAGCAGGCATGTAAAGCACCAAATTCCACATAAAATGCTGACAATTTGATGCTTCTATCTCCAACCCTTCTTGAGTTATATAACAAAACACCTCAAAACTGTCCCTTAACACCCCGTTTTACGGTACTTATGTCCTGATATTTGAGAGTGTTTAGCATGAACTTCATCCAAAAGAAGGGCAGATCGATTTTTTCCCATTGACTTGCAATGGAGAGATCACAAAATTGACCTAACCTTAGGTCACCTAGGTATATTAATATTCCAAGATATAGGTACAAATCATTAATGATTCCCTTATGCACTGCCTCAAGTTCCATAAGCTAGAATGACAGAATCATAAAGATTTTAGAGGCATGATCACTATCTGCGGCCCGTCGGGCTCTGGGATTTTAACCCCCTGCTGGGGGAGGGGAGCATTTGAGCACCCCTTCCTCTTCCAACTCGGCTCCTGGGCCACCTAGCGATACGAGCTAGGCGGCGTTCGAAAGAGCATCAAAAATACCTAATGACGAAATAACTTCAGTCAAGTTTTGTCAGGTTAAAGATCAGGTCACCAGAGGTCACCGGACACCGAAGGCCTAATTTCGCCGATTTTCAGGTCGAATCTCGACAGTTTGCAACAAACTGGCGCATAACTCGGAAACCAATACAAGTATAGGGCCCCGGAAAAGCACTTTGGTAGCCCTCTCAACGCTCTTTCTGAGTATTTATCTCAGATTTGACCTACGGTCAACGGTTTTGCGAGCGGGTCAAAAACTGCCAAAGTAGCCGATTTTTGCAGAAACAGTTTTTATGCAATAACGTTTTTACTCGAGCCTTGTACGGGCTTACTTTTGCCGGCATCGTGTTGCTCTCGTCAAGACGCATCGAATAAACCATCATTTGACCTTGAAAGGTGAACTTGAAAGTTGACCAGGTCAAGGCCATGACCTGACCGTAAAAGGTCATGCTGAATATCAGTCGGTTCGTATCGCCGAGCTGAACACATCTAAGGCGTTTTCATCGTTCTAACTAGCATGCCTCTATCAAAAGTTATTCGCGAAAAACTGCTTGATAACATTCGTGACCTGAGATGACATCAGGGACATGAAGAGGGGTCACGGCCACGGGTGCCATTCCAGTTCAGCGTGTCATGTATATCAGTAATTCGGTGTTTGAGAGTGTTTAATGGCGTTCGTCTAAAAGGGGCGCCTTTCAATTTTCCCCATAATGGAGAAATTGACATAAAATGGAAAGGTCGCAAAATTGACCTGACCTTAGGACACCGATATCAAAATTATAAGAAATTATGTACATGCTGCTGCTCTTATCAATCGCTGAGTCTTTCAAAGCGATCGGTCACTCGATGTAGCTATGGCAGACATTGAAACTTTTATGAGCCAAAATGGCAAAAAAACGGCAGTGCTCCGCGCTGCCTTTTTTACATATTCGCGAAAAACCGCAGGAGAGACTGTTCAAACACCCCCGGCAGGGTGCGGGTTAACTTGACCTGTTGACCTGACCTGATGTGATCTGGGATCAAAAACTTCACACAGGGTGCGATTTTGATGCATGATGGGCTGTACGGAAGTTTCGCGTGCTGTGCACCGTGGTTTTCTTTACACGCGCCCAAAAAAGCGATTGTGACAAAAAATGCCCTCCCCGCCCCCCATGTGGGTGAAGGGTAATTGTGCAGGAAAAAGTCTACTCGCACCTGCATTACGGGCACAAATTAAGGGTAAAAATACTTGACAGACAAATTCTGAGAATGGCTTTACTCTTAAGCCAGGGAATGCTGATTCCAAATCTGGAACAGAAGTCTTGTCACGAGTTAGAGATTTGGGGGACTCCAACCTCCGACAGGGACTGATCTATAAACACTCCCTGCTTTCACCATCTTTATCTTGGGTACTGCTGACCAGCATCCTGTGTTCCATCGACATGTCTGGAACAATCCGATCCTCATCCAAATAGGCACTTGAATGTAGGAGTCAATAGGCCACCTACATCAGCATCTGCGCTCCTGCGCCATCCCCAGCGTCTGGTCGGCAGTGGGCAGCTGTGGACGGGGCAGCAGGCGGCGGAATGGCGGCAGGTGGTGCCACCTGCAGCCGATTTTCACACGTTCGAGCGCGGTGACTGAGCAGATGAGCGGCCTCTAGGCGGGAGCGCTGTTCTGGCCACAACTCACAGATAACCGCAGTGGTAACGGTCGTTTGCTAATGCAGCGTTCGGGGGTACCGTACTGCGTCTGTCAGAAGCAGGTGGTGAATATAACTTAACGGCGAACAAATGGCAATTACCGTGTTCATGTCTAACCACAAGGAGCCTATCCATCTGTGGCCTGTTCACTAACCACACAACACCAAACCGAGTTCGCTGTGAAAGCAACGCTTTTTCGTAACCGCTAGTATATCATTCCATGATTCTATCCGCTCCAGTGTTCAGCCTTATTGAAATGGAAGGTATGTGTCATTTTGCATGTATGTATATCCTTGTGCTTTGTCGTGGTTCTTTCCTAGCCAACGTACGGTCCATTCCTGTTGCAGTTATACCTGTCATGTCGGGTGCCAAAAATTTTGGCATACGCTCCTCTCCTGATCCGATAGTGATCCGCCGGCCGCCGCCACCTCCACCGGTCCCGCCCCCGCCCCCGGCGCCGGCGGTGGCCTGCCCGCCGCCCCCGCCCCCGGAGCCGGCGGTGACCTGCCCGCCGCCCCCGCCCCCGGAGCCGGGCGCGGCCGGCTCGTGCTGCTGCCGGTGCCGATGCCGATGCTCGCCGCTGGCCCAGGTGGCGCCGCCGTCGATACCGGCGCAGCTGTTGACGCCGTTCCCTGAGCCGCCCGTGCTGCGCCGGCCGCTACCCTCCGCCGGCGCCGGCGCCCTGGGAGCTTCTCTTGCCCGACCAGCCGACTTGCCTGTCCTGATTCCGACGTCGTCCACTGGTTCGGACCCTCCTAGTGCCGCTGGTCGAGCCCTGTGCTCCACTGCCGCACCTGGTAATCCTGGAGCCACCGCTGACAGCGGCACCCATCGGCGAACACCGGCAGCTCCTGGTCCCACGCCGGCCTCCACGGGCCAGCTGGTCTCGTGCTGTCACGGTACGTGTGGTCCTAAACGAATGGGTATATTCCCCGGATAAATGCATTTTCCCTCCTGAATTCCTTCAAATACTCGAACCTTGAATCTTGATGCCTTTTGTCGTCGTCGATCGTGATTGACCTTATGCATTTCGTGTCATTGCGACTGTTTGTTGTCTTGTCTGACGGGTGTCTGGTGTTTTTCGGCCAGCAGCAGCTGCAGTCATGTTCCAGGGAGGCGAGGAGGACGACCACCCGTACGTGCGCGTGCTGGAGACGCCGGCGCCCGAGCGGCCCCTGCTGGCGCGCTACCTACAGCCCATCAGCTGGGGTGGCATCGGCTTCGCCTCCGCCTTCGTCTTCAACCTGTTCGCCAGGAAGCCGCCTCTCGCTGGTAAGCGCTGGGCCGGAGCTGGGGCGACTGTCCTTACCGCTCGTCGTCGTTTGTCTCACAGTCGTCTTATTTGTAGTTCTTGCTTCCCTGTCACGTAAAAAAACGACTTACTCTTTTAGCTAAGGAAATTGGTTTGTTACTCGACCCTCCCTGATTTTAGGTTGTTTTTATTCAAGACACACGACGATGCGTAAGAGCAGACATCTGAAATGTAGGATGATGGACGACCTAGTAAACGTCCAGTCTCGGTCGATCTAGTTAGCCATCGAGTATCCCGCCTCCCTCCCCTCGCGGTCTGACGTACCGCACCCGTCCGGACCGACAGGTATCCAGCGGCACATAGCGCTGGGAGGTATCGGCTGGGTGGCCGGCCTCTACATCAACAAGTGGATCGAGAGCAACTCTGCCGAGCGGGACGCCGTGCTCAAGCACTACATCCAACTGCACCCGGAGGACTTCCCCGTGCCCGGTGAGTAACAGACCGGCCAGTATTGTCGCAATAAATATTAAATACACATGTAATGTCATTTTGTAACGTTTTTTTTTACCGTTTAGTTTTGGCTTTCGCACGTTTTGCTGCAGATATAGGTACATTGTCAGACACGCTGCATTATCGCTCCTACCACGCGTCTGCGGTCCCATCTCTGAACGTAACCACTGAAAATTCAATCGCAGATGTCAGAATGTCGATGATAACGACTTTCGGAGGCCAAACAGACTTTCGGAGGCCAAACATGTCTGAGATTAAATGCTTTTCGTTTTGCGTGTTACACAAGCTTACTTTCATCTTTCATTATTTGAAGTTTGTAGAAAGGGTCATTACAACTTAAAGTTATTTTTCATTCTATTAACCCACGAGCCGCTGGGGGGCATAAAGTTGCCCCCCCCCCCTTACGTTTTGTAGAATATCTCCGAAACCTGATGAGTTACGAACGTGAAACTTGGCATAGCTTCAAATGAATACCTACGCAATATTTGAAGAAAGTTTGGTGGTTATAGCACTTAAGATGACGTCACAGTGACGTCATAACGTTTTGTCGTTTTCCGATATGGACCGTTTCTGATGTCGCTGAGCATGGAACTCAACTGTAATTGAACTAGACAGAACCTGTTGTCATCCTAAAACATCTAAGTGCACTTCCATCTAGTTCCTGACCAATGATCGGCCTTTTATATTCGGTCCCATGTATCTGATATATCGTGAGGAAACTGAATGTCGCAAATCTATCATTTGACTTATGACGTCACTGTGACCTCATTTCAAATGAGATCAACACCAAATTTGGACACAACCTCGGCTAGGTATTCAGGAAAATGTGTGCAAACTGCAAAGTTTCGCTTCTCTATCTCTTCGCGTTGCGACGATATCGTCGCAGAAGTAAAGGGGGGGGGGCAACTATATGCCCCCCAGCGGCCGGCGGGTGGCGCGGAGGCCCAGCGGCCGCCGGGTTAATATCTTTATAAATAATGTATTTACAATAATAGGATAGAAGGCGATTAAATCATCGTCTGATGAACTGATGAGCCCAAGATAAGCTAGCAAGGTTTTTAACCCTCGCCCGTAAACGGTGTTTTGCCACCTTCGCCCATGCAGGGGGGGGGGGGGGTGCGACCCCCCTGGCGTTTGAAAACGAAGCGTCGTAGAGCTTAGCGGAAAAGACCAACGGATTGCTCTCAACGAGATCTCGCGATTGGTGGTATATTTTTTGGTTCTAGGTCAACATTTGACCTACTTATGACCGGTCAAAGATCAAATTTTCGGAAAAATCTAACTTTTTCAGATTTCCGCGCCGAATGCGGCAAAACGGTAAGAGATATCGACTTGAAACCTTCACTATCGTGATCCTTGATCAATTCTCTATCGTTTGGTGTGTATTTCGATGTCATAACTCTAAAAATGATGCGTTGGGAGCATCGGAAGTCTGCAAGGTCATTTGTGCATTGGGTCACGTCAGGCGTGTGACGTCACTGACCTGACCCTGACCCAAAATGAACTACAAGAAACAACTGACGATGCCTGAAATGGATAGCAAATTCGAATTCAGGGCATCAAAATACACCGAAAAGGCTTACAAGTGCAAGAAGTCATTACAGGTCAACCGAGGTCACTGACCTTACCTTGACCTTTAGTGACCTTCAAAATGTCAACTGACATTGTGTCAATGTCAAATCAGCCAGTTGTGATTCTAAAACAATCCATCAGTGCGTCAGGTCAGTCGGTATTTATACCAATGTGAAGCAATCTCCAATTTAGCGTAAATCTGGCCGGAGGTTGTTCACTTTATGACGTCATAACTCCGTGACCTGACATGACCTTGACAAAAAAATTACCAAAAGTTGCGCAAAGGATGCCCCAAAGGGTACTGAAAATTTGAGCAGGCAATCTGAAACGGTTCGGCGTGTAGCTAAGAAAAACCTCAGGGGGGGTTGCACCCCCCCCCCCGCCCCCCCCCCCCTACATGGGCGAGGGTTAAATGCAGTACGATCTATACAGCTTGCCTGCAAAGTACAAATTCATATGAGATCCTTGATTTGGTAATGATTGGTTGAGGAGACGTTACTGACGTGAAACCAAGTATAGTGCATGGATGCCCTCGGCCTGAAATTAAATTGTTTCACTAGCTTGCTTGTCACAACGGGCTTGTTGTCGTTTGCCGCCTAATTGTGAAATGGATGTGTTGATGACTTTTCGTAATCGCCTAATACCTATTTTTCCATCCTAATACGCTACTTCATTTTACAAGGAAAAGAAGTTTTTTTTTTCATTCTAGACATTATTGAACTGGGGCATGCATGCAGAATAGCTACCCTGTTGTCAGACTCAGGATGTTCTCATTACGGAGCGAGCGAAGCGAGCGTAGTCTTTTCTTAGATTAACGGAAATTTCTGAGTATGAGCGGCCGGCCGGCCGGCCGGCCGGCCGTGCGGACGCTTTTGCGAGGCTTATATCTCAGCAACCACTTGACCGATTTACACGGGGTAATTTTTGTAGGGTAGCTTCATTCCTTCTACCAAGTATTGGACTATTCCCGATGCATGTGGGTGACCCCTTATGCACGTGCCACGCGCAAAACGAAGAGGTGTCAGTTTTGTAATTGTTGCAATATCTCGGTAACTACTTGGCCGATTGCGCTGAAAGTTGGCATGTAGGTAGGCACCCACTAGGCACTGCATATCCATGTGCCAGAGTTGGGGTGCTGCTGCACGTGCGCACGTGCAGCAGGGGTCGTTTCCAGATCTCGAGAACGGCTGGACCGATGGCGCTCAAATTTGGTACACGGTTAGGGACCAGTTAGTAGGGTGCCGTGCACAAGTCAGTTGGGACCCATTCTGCACGTGCGCACGTGCAGGGTGCCGCTTCCAGATCTCGAGAACGGCTGGGCCGATTGTGCTCAAATTTGGCACATCGCTAGAGACCGGTTAGTAGGGTGCCGTGCACAAGTCAGTTGGAGGTACCCCCTCGAAATTTCGCACGTGCAAGGCTCACCCTCTCGCTCGCTCCGTTAGTCGCCCCAAAAGGCGCTATACTGGTTGTTAGATACACATTGGTGTTGTATTAGGCAAGAGTCAACGCTTGATTTATTCCCATGTTCATTTTTTCTCATTTAGTTCAAAAATATTGTTTCTTCAGTCTGGAGTATAGCCATTGTGCTGCAGAGATACTGTCGCCAACATACAGCCGCACTCACTGCAACCTTGTCAGCAATGTAAGCTGGGGATAATCGCCCTTTTATCGTCGCCCGAACACCACATTCCGCCACTGCACACCATCTCTGCCCGCTAAGTGTCCTGTGCGCTCTGCATCCGTGTCAGTCTCGGTCAATGGGATGCAAGCGCGCGCCGTGACCCGAATGCCGATCGGATGCGGCCCCGGTCAGGCGGGGGGCACCAGCCCATCACTTTGATGAGTCGCTAAACGGCTGGGGGCGCAGGCGTCGTATCATATAGGGAGATGCTGTTGGTTTTAGTGAATAAGATGTGAAATATTGCGTTCGACTAAGTCTGATTATGCTGATCACTAAGCCTTAGCACGGGACGATCACTAAGCCTTAGTCAGCCTACGTAGGATATCCTTTCCGTTTCAGGACACCCTTTTATTTTATTTGGACGTTTTTTGCTGCTCGTTTTTCCCGTTAATCTTATCTAGGCCCGCGCCCACCTCGACTAGCCCAATTGCAGGCAAACGTCACAATTGCTTATTCTGTCTTTTTCAGAGAGGAAAAAGTACAGCGAAATTCTACAACCGTGGAGTCCCCTGCGATGAGTTGTCCTCTGTCTATTGGCGTCGGTCAAGCCGCGGTGTGTCGGCTGCGGCAGCCACTCCCCTGAGCTGCAGCGGAGTGGCTGCCGCAGCCGCCGGGCGCGCCGCCGCGTCTGCCGGCGGTGACCGTCCGCTGTGGCCATTAGTAGAGGTGTGCTATTGGGACAGGGACGTGACTGGCATGTTTGCGGGTGACGGGTCACATCCGTGCCCGGTGGAGAGTCGCGCCGGCCGTGGGCGCGCCGGCAGCCCGACCGGCCGCCACCCGGGCCGGGCGTAGTCATGTGCTGGTATAAAGTGATGTGATGCGTTCTGCAGTGTGTGTAAATATATAATAAACATGGTAAGATATGCGAAGTGTTTCTCCTGTGTGTTTCATCGAGCGGCTAAAGTCGTGGGGGTCTTCGCAGAACGCAATTCAAAACTCGGGTACAAAATATAACATTGGTGCAGAATATTGGACGAACTACGATGCGCGCGTCGCAAGGTTCCCAACAACCTCGCCACATTGCATGTGCTGATAGAGCGCATTAAATGCTGTCGTCCAACCCGGTTGCACTGATCTAACTCTCACCGCCGGACTTATTGGTTTGCTACATACCGGCCGAGGGAGGAGGGGCGGTACGACCCCCTCGACGTTTCGCCTTTAACAGAGCTAGAGCCTCGCGGAAAAGCGAGCGTGTATGTCGTTACGAGACGCAGCGAATAACGATTGGTACTCGATTTTAATGTCTCAGGTCAACTGATGACCTCTGAGATCAGGTGAAGTGGCCCATGGCACGGGTTCGGTTTGTAATTTCGCCAAAGATGGTCGCAGCGTCACGATTTTGGCATTATCATGTTTGTCAACTCAGACGCGACAAATGGCACTTTTTGAGTGAGGTCAACCTAAGGTGCTGACCTCGGGTCAAGGTCAGGTCAAAGCCCCCAGAGCACGAAGTTGGTCGAAGGACGGGTCATATAGCAAACGATTCGGCAGATCTTCCCGAGTCCATTTGTGCCTTTCCCAACTCGCTGGCTTAATTTGATCGGGAGTTATTGATGAAAAACTCCGATGACCTTAGCCCGCGCATGACTGGGGTATTTTCCATAACGCGAGTAGAGCCCCCCTCCTATCTCCGAAACTACTGGCCGTTCGTAAAAATTCAAACGGCGTCTGATAGCCCTAGAAAAACTGTCGAGCGAAACCTATTTTCATTGAAGTGGAGGTCACCATTGACGTCACAGGACAGGTCAAAGTAAGAATTATCGGCATTTTTGCTTGTTCACAATTTAGGCTCTGTCCGCCGGCTGACAAGTCCGATCAGGCTTATTTTTGGTTTAGTTGATCCTTGATAATCCACTCCACTCTTGATATATATGCCTTAGATACCCTGAGGGTACCAACTTTTACTTCGAATTTTTCAGGTCAAGGCCAGGTCATCCTAGGTCACAAAAATTGTACATCATGTATCGGTTACGCGACGCATGTTTTATGGTCCATTTTACTCGTAGATTTCGAAAATAATGTCGTCTGTGTCATTAGAGGCCATTTTCAGCTGAATTTACCGCAGGTCAGGCACCTTTCAGGTCAGAAAAGGTCAAATTTTGAAAATGAAATTTTTCAACAAAAAGGGTGCCTATCAGATGCAATTTGAGCTTAGAAACACGATTGTGCCATTTATATTGCTGTACGATGTCTAAAACGTACTGAAAATGGTTTAACTCTCGCCGGCACAGGCCATTTTGCGTCCTTCGACGGCACAAGGGGGGGTTGGTACGACCCCCCCCCCTCGCGTTTGGCCCCTGATCGAGCTAGAGCTTCGCGGAAAAAAACGAGCGTGTTGCCCGTCACGAGACGAAGCCGATGATACCCAATTTTAGGGTCCTAGGTCATCGGGTGACCTTCCAGGTCAGGTCAATGACCCGAAAACCGGGAAAATCGGAACCTGTTAGAAAGTCGTAAAGCGTGGCTGCTATGTGGTTTTCCGGGGTGCTGATCACGAATATCGTGTTAGTTTTGATCATAGATGATGTCTTTAAGCATTTAGACCAGGTCGGGTCAGGTCAGGTCAGGTCAACCGGTAGGGGTTGTGACGGGTATTCGTAATACGTGTCAACCGCCTCTGACAGCTTCGTAACATGTTACGAAGGCACCGAAACTACTTCGTAAATGTTCAAATGGATGCTAAATTCGAATTCAGCTCCAAAAACTAGCCTAGAAACATGTAAAACTCGAAAAAGTGAACCGAGGTCACCCGAGGTCACCAAAGGTCAATGACCTGACCTGACCTTCAGGTGACCTTGACACCCACCCTAATGCATGGGAGCAGCATCAAATCACATGTTTGAACGTTTGAAACCACGAAAAGCTTGCAAACTCGCGGCTAATGTGAGCCGACATACGCGAAATTGCGATTCCGGCCAAACATGGTCTCGGAAAAAAGGTCACAGGTCAAAGGTCATTTGGGTCAGGGTCATGAAATTTTCAGGGTAGGTGTAAAATTGATCAATGCGAGGGTACTGAAAGTTTCGTCGCGATCGGCCGCTTTTTACGCGAGTTATTTGCGAAAAACCTTAGGGGGGGGGGGGCCCTGTGCCGGCGAGGGTTAAAAATATATAATTGTAAAATTTTGACAATAATGCTAATAACTTGGCTATTTTTTTCAGACATTGAGCTAAAACTTGCTAGAGTAGTTCATCAGTGTGTGTTCTGTCACATATATTCCGGTTTTCCGAAAAATCAAAAACTTTTTGAAAAAATCAAAAAATATATTTTTTTGTAATTGTAAAAACATATTTTTCAAAATTTCAAAGCTTTCTAAATTCGAGATCGCAGTTTGATAGCTACGTGCATTTGTAACCCACTGATGCAAAGAAATTGTATCTAGCTTTAAAACTAAGCTCTTAAGAGCGTTTGCCGTAATTCGATATCTTGCATCAAAATCGGCCAACATGACGTCAGTCTGACGTCATTTCCGGCCAAACTTTGGTAGCTAGAAAGTTGAAATTTTAACACAAGGTGTCAAATTGATGCCGCTGAGGGTGCCGCAACATTCGTGTTGATCTGTCAAACGGTTTTTGAAGATATTACCGAAAAATGGGAGGGGGGCTCTGTAGAGCCCCCCCCCCAGTCATGCGCGGGCTAGTGACGTCATAAATGACTTCACGCAAGGTCAACAATGCAAAGGCGAAGCATTAGATCCTTGCAACTTGCAAGAAGTGCATGAAATCACGATTCCGAGTGTTTTGGATAGTTTCAAGATCATTCCCAGGGGCGCGGGAACTACTTTCAGACTGGGGGGGGGGGGCACACCATAAAAGAGATCAACCTAGGGTAGGGGAGAGTGGGGTGGGTTGTATCAGTTTTTACTCCGAGACCCATAACCTCGTAACTATCCGTGATAAACTCATTATTTCCATACTATCTCCTTCCTTGATTCTTCTGCTTTTTTGTGTAAAGTAACTTTTCCGCTACCTCTACCAGTTTTTCGTCTACGGTCTGCCGAATAGAACAATGTTTTTGATACAACTTGCCCATGGCTTGGGTGAGTTGTATCAAATGGTGGGGTAATCTGTATCACTAGGTATTTCACGTTTCAGGGAGTGTGTTTGCTACTGGTTTTAAACATAATAACAACATTAAATGGGGTTAATACAATGTATATGCTCAAAGGCTTCACTTTTATTAGACCAAACTTAGGTCAATGCAATCCGAACGAAACATCGAAACGAACGACACATCAACAGACCAGATGCAAAAGTGGCCCGTTAAGAGCAAAGAAGCCAACACATTGTGCCGAAATGGAACGAGTATTGACTAGCTACCTACAAACGCGAGACAGGGCTTAGCTTTCGCGATCAAAAGCAACATACCCATACATACATACATGTTACAACATACCCCACCCGGCTCTGATACAACATGTACCTCGCCGCCATCTTGGAAAAAAAAAAACATCCTCGTGCTCAAAAACAGCGGACAGCTGGAGAAATCCATTTTCACTCACGCAGCCTTAGAACCTACCCTCACCACCGCTACGGAGATCTTTCAAATTCGTGCACATCTAAATGCCCAAAACACACATTTTCTTGCAACTCATTTTTTTTAGAATGACATTTAAAAAACATAAAATCGGCTCTCACCTCGAGACGCGTCCACCCAGCCACACGACAGAACAGGGAAAGATGGCGCCCGGAAAACCTCGTCGGCTGGTCGTGTCACGAGCGCTATCTATTGGATAAGTTTGGCACAATTCGCCCTGATACAACTTGGACATGATACAACTCTCCCCGCTCTCCCCTACTCCCATATCTAGTTTTCTCACCGGTTTTAGGCCACTTATTTTTCATCCCTTGGTTTTTTCCACAAAAAAAGAAAACATTTGCAAAAAAGTGCGGTATTCCGTCTCAAAGTTGTGGGGGCACCGCCCCCACGGCCCCAGTGTTGGGGGGGGGGGGCAAGCTGCTCTCACTGCCCCCCGGTTCCCGCGCCTATGATCATTCCCGACGATAAAATAACAGTTTCCATCAGGGCTGCGGAGTCAATGGATTTTAGGGTCACTCTGACTCCAACTCCGACTCCGACTCCGGATGGTTGCCAACTTTCTGCCAACTGTATATAGGTATGCCAACTTTCAGCCCTCTCTTATCGCCTGCGTGCACCGACCTACCGCGAAAAACTTTGGGGGGCGGCACCCACCCTCCCATAACCCGGGAGTGTTAATTGATATGATTTTGTTTCCATTTAGAACCACAACCAGCGAAAATCAGATAAGACGTAAGTAAATTAAATGTTTATGTGGCATTCGCAAACCCTAACCCTCGCCAGTGCGGTCATCCGATTGTATCGCGTCAAGGGGAAGGGTAGGTGGCGTGGCATTATTACGTCCCGATCAAACTCATTTCTTATGTTACGTAGCGGCATATGATAAACGGCTTTAACCCGAGCCCCACTGGGGTCTGCGTATAACGCGCCCTGCTGGGAGGGGGAAGGCTATTCCTAGCCCCCCCCCCCCTTATTCCAAAACTACTGGGCCGATCGTCAAAATTCAAACGGCGTCTGATAGCCCCGGAAAAATGTCGAACGAAACCTAATTTCATTGACCTCGAGGTCACCGATGACGTCACGTCAGGTCAAAGTAAAAATTATCGCTGTTAGGCTTGTTCACATTTTGGGCTCTGGCCGCCGTATTACAAGTCAGATCCGGCTCATTTTTGGTTTAGACACTCGTGAACAGATGTTTTAGATTCCCTGAGGGTACCAAACTTGTACTTTGATTTTCAGGTCAGGGTCAGGTCATCACAGGTCACGGAAATATTATATCATGCGTCGGTCAAGTGACACATGTTTTATGGTCCATTTAGGCCATA